GATGTGAATGGAAATCAGTGCTGCAAAAACACAGTTTGTCAATAAAAAGCTATTTTTCCATCATAATAGCAACACTAGGAGCTCCAGGACAAAAAGAAAATCTTCATCAATTCTAACATTTTCATTTACAAATCATGCACACAACTACAGGTTTTGAATAAATCAGCCTTGCTTTAGAAAATAATTATCTTGTTCCCAAATGCCAAAATCTTCTTTTATATAGTGTTTTGACCAATTATTTACAGTGTTGCTTTGATTTCTTAGCAAGAACCAGAAATCGAAGTTTTGGAGAAAAGTAGAAACCAAGATAGTAGGCAGTGAACAATTGTTTTGAGTAATATTTTAGATGCATTTATGTTTTTAACCCTCAGGCTTCACTTTAACTTACTTGAGTTCCTAATGAAGTATGAGCGTTAACACGAGAGGAGATGAGTCACAATTACTGGATGAGCTGATGAAGTGTCATTTTTAGGCTTGTGTGACCTCTGACCTCACAGACCTCACAGACATCTGACCCCACTAACACAGCCTTCAGCTGTCAGGTAGGTCATGCAAAAAGTTGTTAAATTTTCTCAAATAATGACCAACTGCAGCATTTACACCTGTAGATCCAAAGAACAGAAGGATGGCCCATGCACTATCCACCCTCCTTCCTTCAGGCAGAAGACTGAGCTGCCTCAAAGCCTAAACATCAAAGCCCAGGAACCATTTCATCCCCGAAGCTCATGAACTCCAACCGTTAAGCTGCTCACTGCTCTTTTGATTAATTTTTATACATTTATTGACTGAGCTATTGACCTCAACAGCATGGTGAATATTAATACCTGTCACCAGTGAGAGGTTGTAGGTGGTGACCATTTGGAGGCTTTCTTTTCCACAGACACTTTGGAGACTACGGGACTTTCTTTGTAAAAGCTCCACTTCCTGCTGGTAAAGCTATCAGGATAAACAGATCAGAGTGTGAGGGGGAAGAGACAGAGCAGAGGAAACACAGAGCAGTGAGAAAAGATGAGAGGTGTAGAAACTCGTAGAGTTTTTACATTTTCTGTCCTGCAGGTCAAAGCGAATATCCTCCCCAGCTCATCTAAAATAAATATTTGGTCCACACCACTTCGTTCTCATCAGAAAAAATCCAGTGCATTGTGAAACCAAACCAGTAGGTGGCAGTGATTCCCCAAATCTTCAGGGTCTTTGCTGAGAAACCTAGCAACAGCCATCTTTAATGTTGCCCTTTGTCTCTGGTCTTCTACATAGAACACTAATAGAGCTTTTAAAAATAAGCGAGTGTGAACTAAGGTTGCCCGCGTGATGCCACAGCATTTTTGTCGCAAAACCGAACACCCTGGTTATTTAAGTCCTCAAGCAAATTCTGGCAACGGAAAATTCGCAAATCTCCCTTTTGGAGTTTTTGAAAGAATCAATTTTAGTGCCATTCATCTTAACTTTTATGCAAACGACAAGCCAAACCATAGAAAATATCTTTGTTTCAAGTAAAACCTGCAGCTACATGTGTACAGGGCCTGAGAAGGGTTCAAGACACATTATTGTGTCTTTAAGGAAGACACTAATGTGTAGTGAACTCCATATGTCTTCCTCTGTGATGTGAGACCACGTTTGAATCAGAAACAGGGTTTGAATGGAGAAGAAAACTGTTTCACTCCAGGAAAAAAAAACACACACGATGCATCCAAATACCAACGACAACCCACAAATCAGGCAGCTGCCATGTAGGCTTGAAGTTGCAATGCTCTGAAGTGACTTTTCAGCAGACGGTATTTCATGAGACGAGTCCTAAATGTCATCAACAGCCAGCGAGTTCCTTCTGACAGAGTAAAATCCATACACAACATAAGGTTTTATTCTTGTTGGATGCAGCATGCTTTCAGAGTGCCCAAGTACCTGCCGTCACTGCATCAAGGTTTGTTTTTATTTTCCTCTCTTTTAAATTTAATTTAATTTTAAGTAATTACAGATGGTGTCACCCACCCACTGTAGTCCTGCTCATGGAAAAAGTAAAAAGAGGCCCAGCCTCGCTGGGCTCAGGCTGACTTTACCCGTGTGCAGCGGCCAAGTCACAAAACAGATGTTTACTGTTTTTGTAAGGATGATTTGCTCTCCTCTCCACGTTGACCCGAGTCCAAGCATCGGTCACTTTCAGAGAGAGTGGGTTGTCGGGGTCGCGGTGCATGAACCAGGTGATAAGGTTTTACTGTAAATGTGGGACTGATTGTATAAATGTTTTATCCGTGGGATGGTTTATGACTCTGGCAGGTGCCTGCGGTTGTCCATAATTCAGGCAGCTGCGCGATAAAGCGATCAGATAGATCACACGTTGGAAATTTGCGTGTGAGCCGTCGTGAAAGTGTCGCCCCTGTGTGAGAAGTGAATGGTGTCAGGAGCTTTGGTGTGTGTTTCTGTGTGTCGGTGTAGGCTGCAGCTTGGACATGGCCCCGGTGCAGGTCTCTCCACAGAAGCCATTAAGCTGTGTGTCTGTTAGAATAATGTGTTTTACTTGGCTCCGGAGCAGCAGCAGGTGCTGGGAGGACCAACCTCCACTCCTCTCCTGCTTTGATGCACAGCCCAAATTCCCTCTTTTGGTATCTTTCTCTTCCATTGCTTCTTTGTCCTCATCTTTCTGTGACTTCAATCCTTCCCCGTGTTTTCATTATCTGACGGTTACCTGTTTTTGTGCTTCTTCTTTGTCTCACTTGCGTTCGTGGTGACTTTTCTTTTCTCAAGTGTTTAAAAAATGTTTAGCATTTTTTAAATCTCTGCTTTTTCTCACCTTCTCCTGTTATAATGCTCACTTGTACATCAGCCATGCAGCTGGTAGACATCAAACTGGCTGCAGAGCTCCGATTTTACATTAAAATGAATGCATTCACTGTGAGAAAGCTACCTGGAAAGGTTTGTATTTGCTTCAAATTAAAGAAGCAGCATGAACAAACAGATAGTAAGAAGATAAAATACCCATCACTTCAGCAAGAGCATGTTTAGTGTCTTGCAAGAAATAGGATAAAAATAAACATTTGAGATCAGCTTCTTTTCTACCCGATTTATTTCTACATTAGTAGAATAAAAAACACTTGCATCACTTAGATTCTCCACCAGATAGCAGAAGACAGGAACTGGATTCAGTTATGCAGTTTTTGAGGAAGGTACTAATCCTGAAAAAGAGCTAGAGCTTTAAGTTACACATAGTTGATGAACAAATAATGCATTTTGTGTTGAAATGTTAAAACTAATGATATTTAGTTTGGGGATTTTTAAATGGCTGTGGGGAAATAAAAGCATTTATTGAAATAAAAAATTATACATTCAAAAAATGTGGAGTTTTTCAGGTTTTATTTATTCATTAATATTTAAAATTGCTTTGTCTTTGGGACATGGATTTTGCTGCTAAACTTCAAAGTCTCCCAATTGTGGGGCGTTAGAGCCTAAAGGTCTGGCGGGCCGGATGTGGCCCACGGGTCACCAATTGAGGTTCACTGCTACAAGGAGTTTCAGAGGGACCCAGATGGTGTGACTCATACATGGGCTTGTTAAAATCTATGTGGGCAAATCTCTGTGGAGCCACCATGGAAACCCCAGACAAACCCTGTTGGTATATGGTTTGCCCTCACACATCCATATGGGCCCACCTGTGCATGCTGGCTGGGTATTTTCTGATATTTGGACATCTCGCCTCGGAATGGATAACAGCAATGCGACTCTACCACTGACCTGCAACGTGGATGTTTTTATCTCCACAAATAACACAAGCCTGGAGGAGTTCTGTTGTGTGGTGGAGTTGCTAATGTCCCCCGTCCCTTGTCCTGTACAGCCCCATGCAATTTGAGTTCAGCATCAGCCAATAGTGCAAGGCATCCACTTACGTACACATATCAATCACAGAGTGGGCGTTCTCTGCTCTTTCCTGGATGCTAAAAACAACAACAGCCTTCCAAATTGCACAGAGCTCTACGGGACGAGCTTAGCAAAAATTACACAATGACAAAAAGCTTTCACAGTATAGTTTAAGACTATCGCTGTTACAGATTTCTAAAAACAATCATACATAATTCCTGAAATGGGGGAAAATCCGGTTTGTAGCTTTATGGTGCAACACACTTTTCCACCTTTGAGAAAAAACTCAGGAAATCTGCTTTGAGGAGTAAAACCAAACTCACAGTCTTTACTACAATGACAGCCTGCTGTGTGGTGGGGACCTTCCAGCACTAGCTCCTTTCAAAAGGACGGTGATCATTCATTTGGGTATGAAGCTAGATTCTGCTCTGAAATTTGACGCTCAAGTGAATCCAGTAGTTAGAGCGTGCTTCTTTCAGCTCCGACACCTACTCAGGATTAAATGAATGCATTCAAGAAAGAATCTGGAGATTGTGACACATGCTTTTATATCGTCTAGGCTTGATCATTGTAACTCCTTTTATGCTGGACTGAGTCAGTTGTTCTCACGGCTGCAGATGGTGCATGATGTTGCATCTAGATTCATTTATGGAGTGAAGAAGTGGGAACATATATCTCCAGTCTTGGACACCATACAATGACTTCCTGTAAAGTACCATGAAGGAGTTTAACTGCTAGTTTATGTACTCCAGTGGTGTGCTGGAGCAGATCCACCTTACCTATCAGCACCCACAAGATCTCTTTGCTCAGGTGCAACTGTAAGTGTTGAGGGCATCAACTGTTTGCAACAATGGCCCCCAAACTTTGGAACCAACTCCTCCTTGACAATCCACTGTAGTTTGTAGATTTAAAGGTGGGCTAAAGCAATATACAGATTTTTCTCTTGAAAGGCAAACCTGCACAGAACCCTCACAAGATGTCACGATAGTCATAGCCTAACATGGTTTGAAGTTTTGGAGCCCCCTTTTCCTCTTTTTCCTTCAAACTCAAGGTAAAGCCATTAAATCTAAGGCAGCAACCCGCCTGGGTTCTCAAAGACAGAGGAGGAAAACCATGAGAAGAAGAGCCAAGGAGCCTGAAAAAGAGCTGCCTTTATGCAAGGAGCTCACCGCATTCTTCTGCCAAGAACCGGGGGCCTCCCTGGAGAAAGTCGGGACGAGCGGATGAACTCACATTCATATGGGAGTTCATGGAGCTGCTCCAGATACACGGAGGCACAGAAAGAGAATAGTGATCAAACACACTCTGATCTGTGCATCGTGGAGCCTCTCATTGTTCTGTCAGTCAGCATGGTTTTCTTAGCTGTGATCCACAGCAGGGACATTTCTGCTTGTGAATGGTAACGCACACACGCAAGCTTGTAAAGGGTAAATGATTGATTTATTGGGTTTCAGGGGCTGAGGTAGGTGGGATATTAGACACTCCTTGGAGATCTCATTGTGGGATTTTTGGGAACAACAGGAGAGACATTCCTCTGCCCACAGTCCATGTCTTCCAGAACGTATACTAGGGTTTATTTTAAAAGCATGGTCCTTCTGTACACATGCCTCTATATGCTGTTTCTGCGCTTTCTTCTGTGAAAATAAAAAAGTCTTTATTTACAGATAATTCCAATTTCAGCAGAGTTTTACGGGCCGTGCTGTGTGTAATTATATATGACCGGCTGACCTGCTGGGATTTTTGTATGAATTTGATCCCAGAAAACACTCAGTGTGTAGCAGATTAGTGTGTGTTGTAAGGAAATATAAAAGCTTGTGTTTTTGGATGGAATTCCAGTTTTCTCCGTGGATTTAAGGTGACAGTCATGTTGGGCTGATCAGGAACGTTCTGGCTGGAAACATCAGCATCTGGAGACCACATGTTGTGCCTTTTACACAAAGAATGGTGTCTGATTTTATTGACTTTCTGAACTGTTACAGCTATATCAGCTCTGTTTCATGGAACATCCAGGGCACTGAAGCTGAAAACATATGCTTTTGAACAAGTGTGTGTGTGTGTGTGTGTGTGTGTATGAGTGAATATTAACACAATCCTGATGTGGACAAACAGCATCTTTAGACCAGGGTTCTTTTCTTTACTGTAACTTTTCTGTTACTTCGATCATCAAAAGGTCAGCAGCAGCAGCGAGGCCTTGAATCATCCTTTATTATGTCTACCTGTCTCCTCTCTGCTCCACGACTTCTTCTCTTAAATGAAAATCCCAGACAATGAGTTATAAATAGAAAATGAAAATGGTTTCCTCATAAAAACAAACTGAATCTGAGCACTAAACTTAGTTTCACATGGCCCAAACATGCAGGGACATTTCAGAGAGAACAACTGTAAATGTGGGCTAGACTGGAATGACAGGAAGTTTTTATGAAATAATGATTTTTGTGTTATTATCATCGACATATAAATATTGGACAATGGGTGTCCATAGGCTCCAATAACACGTTTTTGAGGCTAAATGGGAGGTGGCCACCACCGCCATTTTGACCGTGTCACAGGTTCCGTCAAGCCCAGACAATTCCACAAAAGGGAAGAGAGGTGGAGCTGAGGGTGTGGCTGTAAGGCTGGGATTAACTGACGGCACCCAGTCGAACTAGCTACAAGCTAACCTGAAGCTAACCCAAAGCTAACGCGGAGGTGGGAGCTAAGCTAACAGAGATAGCAACCTAGCTACAACCGGAGTTAACTGTGCACAACACCAGAGCTCCTGAGTCAGAGATACGCCGGGCTGACCGCTGGGTAAAACCGGGTGGAACACAGAGGTCTCCCGATAGCTGCTGAAAGCTGGCAGCCCGCGCAGCAGACAGAAGCCGCAATCAGACAGAGATGCTCCGAGCTGCGGGGAGGGGAGAAGCGGGTGGAAAACATCGGTCGCCCGAGAGCTCCACATGCCAATAGTCGGAACCCAGCTCCACCAACATGTTATATTTCAACCCATTTTCTAAAGTGCAGCATTATGTTAAATGCACTGGGTTTTACCCTATTACATTTAAATTTCATGGTTAAACTCTAACGGGTTGGGACCAATTTTTGAGCCGTATTGTGGGGGCTTGGTTATTATATAATTTTCCTAATGACAAGCAGTGATGTGAATACCACAGAGAATATATCCACTTTTGTAACTCTTGGTAAGCAAATAAATCACTATTATGACCTCTTTGCAGCCTGGCAAGCCTTCCTATGTAATTATATCATCTGGCCACAACCCATAGAGGGAACTCAGTCATATGGCAGAATACGGTTGTCTTTCAAACGGTCTGCACGCTATCTGACAGCGCTAGGACCAATCATAGCAACAAAATCAGTCAACAGGGCAGTCCGCCATACTCCATCAAAGAAGGAGGAGGAGAAGAAGAAGAAGAAGAAGAAGAAGAAGAAGAAGAAGAAGAAGAAGAAGAAGAAGAAGAAGAAGAAGAAGAAGAAGAAGAAGAAGAAGAAGAAGAAGAATCTCCTAAGTCTAAATTTTCCAAAGTTGATGCCAAAGCCATTTCAAATGAATGCTGTTTCTGAGCTGCTGCCATCTTTGTAGTTTTTCTCCATCGTAGCTCCGGTGCTTAGTTCGCCAAATGTCTCTCTTTAAACATAGAGCGCTGTGATTGGCCAGACCTACAATTATTTGGGCCAATGGCAGAGCTGCTGAGGCTAGAATGGAGCATGGCTAAACCGACCTGCAGATCTAAATCATTTGCTACGGTTGGTCCAGATTTCTACGCCAGCCCTTTTGGTCAAATCATGAAAATAACAAAAAATCCCTGATGATAGTGCAAGATCTCTTGCAAGCGGTCAACATTTGCTTACATTTAGTGCGCTTCTTAGTTACAAAACCATCAAATTTTGCCTCAACATCTGCAAAACGGATAGCTTGGTAGCTGTTTCTGTATTGGTAAATGTTTATTATCTGTAGTGGCTAACTTGTATTGGACTGACCTCAAATCAGTAAAAGATTAAAGGTATGGCAGAGGGTTTTCTGAATTTCAGGAAAGAACTGCCCTCTCCACATTTTGAAAAAAATGTGCATGAGTGAGAATGCCCAGTTATCCTCATTCACGCTCTGTTTACAAGTAGCTGCCGGTCTTGCAGCTAACTGCTTCTAGCAGTAATCTGAAATTAATTCCTCCAAATTGCATGCAAAACTTTAGCTTACCTGTTGAGCAGAAATCCGGCAATAGGCATCTGTGGGGAGCCCAACTTTAGCTTTGCGCATGCACAGGAAATAAAAACTACCCAGCAACGAGCCTTGCGACGACGGCCTTGTGTGAATGGTTCACCAGAATAATTGGCAGTTATGTGGACCGATGGCTCAGATGATCCACCCAGAAGATAAATATCCTCCACTATACCTTTAACATTCAATAATAACTTAAAAAAAATAAACTAATGTATTGTGTACTGTAGCGTTGTTAATCTACATAACTAGAATTTAAGCGGTTGCAATTCAGCTTTGTTAAATTCTGAAAAAGATCAAACGAATTGGTAAAGAAACTTATATATATATATATATCCACAGATTTTTATATAAGTTCATACACCAACTGGCTTGGTCTATATTTAATCAAAAGATTAATATTTAATTTAAGAGATTTAAATTAATAGCAAAAGTTTATTTATTAATTCAGAAGATCTAAAGAGATCTTTGCTCGTTCAATAATCAATATACACCACTCTGTGTTTTACTCCAAAGAAGAGTCAGGTTTAAAAAGTTAAGAATTTATTACTAACAATTTAAAGATGACAGTTTGAAAGACAATTCATAAATGACAATTTATAAAAGCTTTGGTATTAAAACTTGGTATTAAAGAAATCAGTGTCTGGATGAAACTAAAAATGAAGTGTGTGTGCTTGGATGTGTGAATGTAGGTCTCAAAAGGTTTTTTATCTTGGACAGAGAAAAATGCATTCTGGGTGGTAGAATTTGGTTTGCAGCTAAGCTAAATTATTTCTTAAAAGAACAGGCATTCAGACGCAATCTGTGTTCAACCTCACTGTTCAGACGACCCTCTGTTCGGATCCGGAGGTCAAGGGAGGATGTTGATCAGCCTCTGGGTACTCGGTCCAGTAGGGTAGACCAGTGGTACCAACTCTCTGGTCCTAGAGTTGCCGCAGGCACACAGGTGGATGGTATTGCGTCCGAGCAGATTCATAAGGAATCTCGTAGCGTCAGCTTGTTGCAGATGGCGTTTCTGTTGAAGCAATTCTATCGGCGTGACAGAAAAGCTTTAGTAGAGGTTTCGAGCGGCCAACCCGAACCTCTGGACTCTCGTTGCCACAGAGAGAATTTTGGTGAGCTCAAGAACTGAACTTGAACTGAGGAGTTTAGGTTTTAGGAGACGGCCGGTAATCTTATTCTAACGAATTAGATTTTTACATGTTAGAGGGTGGGACTTAACATACCTCAGAACACGCCCTCTCAAGATAGAAAGCTCTGGTGTTATGGAACAAAGACATGTGAGTACAGTAACCTTTAACCTGATTACTGTGTCCTGCATGGTGTGTATAAGTGCACATGATCTTCTTGTCACTGTTAAACATTACTGATTATTATAAATAATAATTATTAACCAAAGAATAACAATTCATTTCAGTAATTAAATACATTTATAATGAACCTTGATGATTATTTATGAACTAATAGACAGTGAAAAGAGTTTATTAAAAATGATTCTTTTAAATCTTGAAGTGTCCTTCGTCTTGCGGATGGAACAGCAGTCAGACAAAGGCAGTCAGGTTAAAGATGGTTTACAGCAGACTTTGTGTCTCCTGTAACGGATAATCTGTAAAAAGAAGTACAGCCAGGACAGCTTGACCCAGCTGAAGAAGTGTGACCTTTGGGTCACAAATGAGGCCATTCATGTCACTACAGTAATATTTATTTCAGTATATTGCATTTGAATAGTATCAGCACTTTGTTGTAATCTTCAGTTCCTCCCTTCCTGTGCTTTAGGGGATCAGAAGTTAAGGTGACACATGTAGAAGTTAAACAGGCTCTGTCCTGTAATGTCCTGCTCTTTTGGCTTTAAATAAAACATTTCATGGAAAGAGCTGAAGCCCCAAAAGGTTAATGATTACTACCATATCAGTGTAATGAAGTGAGAGGTTATTACATTTTATTTAATGAGCCGTAAGGCGTGGGATTCCATAGTAAATATGAAATCCACCTTACGGATCGAGGGTTACTCAAACCAGAAGATGGTATCTTTTTATTGCAGAGATTAGGTAACCGTTATGTTTTCACTCAGAGACACAGAATAGAGAGAGTCAAGTTTAAAAGTTAAGAATTTTATTACTAACAATTTAAACTAGTCTGACTTTAAACTAAATGTATAGTGTAACTAAAAATGGATGAGACGGTGAATGGATGACGTGTGATGTAATCAGAACCAGCAAATCCGAAGAAGCGATTAGTTCTGACGGGAACTGAAGATGTTGTTTTGAAATAAGCTTTGGTTAGTTTCAGAAACGCATGAGACACCATCAAGTCGGTCTACCTGGCTTGTGGAAGTCCTCTGTAGATCAGGAATGTCGAGGTCCAATGAACCCTCTCTGGAAACCGGGCCGGTAGAAGAAGCCGCGATTCCGACCAGACCCGTCTTGGGTTACCTCCGGCACACAACACATTATTGGCGTCTGGTCAGACCCAAACCTGGTTCGGTAGATGGAGCTTTTATTCTGAAAGGAGCTGTTGTTGCCGCTGGTTGTTATAGCGACTGGATTTTTTCAGCTTGTCGTTGGTTCTTTCGGTTAAAGAGTTAAAGGTCAGGATTGGCCACTCCGACACTCACTCTGGAAAGCTTTGAACTGGCGTTAGAGCTGACGTGGCATAGTTTTATACCTCGGATGTTATGGTTTATTGTCGAATGAAAATTACCAAACACCGTCAGAAGCACGCCTCCGTCAGATCTGTAAGATTCTGATTGGATCAGTGAAAGGAATGTGTTATGTCTTTTTAACACTACATGAAATGAGTCCTGTTGGAATCCTTAAAGTCACAGTACTTATTATTTCTATAGGATCATAATAAAGTAATTAATATTTTGATTTCATAGGTCGGTCACATCTTATTATATTGACTAACAGATGTTTTGATTAGCTTTATTGAAAATAGAGTTATTTGGCTTTTAATAAAAGAAAAGAAAGGAGTCTTCATCTTCTGTCTTCAATGCTGGAACGTAAACAGTTTAGAAGCGAATGCATGACCTTGAGGCTGTTTCATGCACTCTGGCACTGTGTCAAAAGGGAACAGTTGTTAGAGGATAATTACACTGAGAAATGGCTCCTTAATCACTTTACATCAGTAATAAATGTGAAAAATAACAAAAAATGACATAAAGAGGGAACAAACTCCCTGCTTCTGCCCACATAGAAAGTACGTCACATCACACGTAAGTAAAACCATAAAACAGTAAAATGATGCATAAAACAAGTCTTGATATGAAAATCATGAACTGATCGCAACAACTGGTGCAAATATGGATGCAAATGTCTCCAGCAACCAAATTTAGCACTGAAAACAACAAAAACAGCTGATCCTATCAATTCTGGACATTAAGTGTCATAACTTATTTATGATTATTAAAGTAAACATATACAGTCATGTTTTCAGTGAATATTGAAAATGAAGTGTTCGCCTCCAGGCCAGTAGATAGAATCAGAGAAATACCTTCTGGATGGGAAAACAGCAGAAATCTTCTACACAAGGAGGGATGCTGTTGGCGGAGAAGCCAGACATTCCTCAGAGGTTCAGGAATCTAGTCAAGCTGTGGGGCTGCTGCAGCCACTGCTCGATGACAACCTGCACCCCGAATCCTCTCTGCCAATTGTTCAGCCTGCGATCCACTGCGGAAGGTGTTTGTTATTGCTGGACTCTAATCTGTGTTTCTTGGACATGGAGCTGATGTGTGAGAGAAGCTGCTTGATGGAACGTAGCAGATGCAAATCATCATGATCACTTCAGCTGTTTATGTGTTACAGGCCATGAGGAGAGTTTTTATACAAACTAAATAGAGAAAAATCCCGTCTGAGGCAGGAGTTTTTATGAAACGTTTCTGTGTCATGCCAGTGCTCACTAATAAGGCAGCCCTGGCGTTTATGGTGAGAGGTGGGAGATTTAATATCCAAACCTGCTTATTCTCCTGATTGCTTTTATATGCCACCTAGTGCTCATCTTTAAAAGCTACCAGGACCGCAGACGGACCAGCATCCTTTGTAAACTTCCCTTAGAGAAATATCAGTTTCATACAGCAGCGTTGACTTTTTTTTAACGCTCCACTGGGTGAATTTCAGCTTTTGCCAAAGAATTCATAAAACCACCAACGTAACCATTGGCTCAGGACTCATCGCCAACTCCCTGAGGTGTTGTTATGTTGGGTTATTAACTTGGAAGTGCATCCCCCCCGTGGCATTTTCACTCTGCACCCTTCAGTAATTGAGTAACAGAGGTCTGTCACGGAGCACAAAGGAGAAAAAGTGAGCATGCAGAGGCTGAAAATTCCCATAAGCTGTCAGGAAAGAGAAGCCGACCTGCCTCCTCGCGTTCTATTGTTCCTCCACAAAATGGTCAAATTGTGTTCATGTTTGTTCCCATGAACTGGAAAGTGGTCTTAAAGGCGTCTGACTCTGTTGTCAGCATCAGCAGAGATCATGTGTGTATTATATTTGTTTCCTAAAGGAAGTTTTCATTAGTTTCTCTAACAGAGTGTGCACCAAGATGGAGGGAAGGCTTAAAATGTGACAATGCTGTGATACATTCATCATAATAAATCTAATAAAGACCTTTCTGTTGTAGTTAAAAAGCTTATAAAGTAAATTTTCTCAATCCCAAACACTGAGGACTTCTGTTCTTATAAGTTGTTTTTACACATTTAAATCTATTTTTTATTAAGGAACTGAGAAGATATAAGATTGAATGTAGAAACCTAAAAATGTAACAAATCTATCCATTTAATGTTAACTAAAATGTTAAAATCCTCCAAATTGTAATTTCAGATTGGGTCCAGAGTTATTCACCTTTCAATACTAGTCTTGTTTTGTATGAAATGGTTTTGAGTTTACCTGCTTCCCTCTGGACATTCTCTCACCTGCGTTCAGGCTCACCAACCCAGATGAGGTCATTACATCAAAACTAACGAAGCTTTTTCTTGACACGATGAGTTAAATGAATCATTTCCATTTGATTGTGTAACTATTTTGACCTAGAGATGAGTGTAATGGAGCCTAGGGTTCCATTCATTATGATTTATGTTCTGTTATTTCTGATTGAGTTACAGGCAAAAGGTTTGTTACTGAAGTGATTTATTTTGTGCTGGACATTCGTAACAGGTTCTTTAGAAGCAGAGGGACTGGCCACCCTTCCTGTGTAAAGAGGAAATGTTGGTTAAATGTCAATATGTGTTTAAGTTGATCTCCAAAGTTTCACTCACCTTTCTGGTAGTGTCTCCTCAGCAGGGCGGGGCAGCAAAGGGAAATTTGTGTCCCAGGTGCTGCTTTTAAGCTGCTGGAGCATACCACTTAAATAAGGAGGTGTGATTCCTGGAGGAGTTGTGAAACCAAGTTTATTTTGTGTGAGTGAACTTGGATTTATTTAGTTAATATAATTTGTATTTATGTAAATAATGTTTGGTATAATTTATTATTTGGTAGTTGGGTTTGGTAAATATTATTTAGTTATTATTTCTTTGATTACCCCTTTTCTTGGTTTCTTCCAATCATTCACTTGGTTATAAAAGGCAGTGAGTGTTGGTGTTGGTGACAAGACATGCCGCAATATAGCCACCGCAACCTGATTTATTTGTTTGCCTCTCCCTCAAACCACATGCTGCCGCTGGTCAAAACTGACAATGAGGTCCTTCTGGAGAAAACTACAAAGTTCTGTTTTCATCAGAGATCAGGACAGTCTGGCTCAAACTCAAGATGTTGCATCAAGCACACATCTTTACTCATGACTTGACTTGATGTTGGAGACCATCCTGTCTCCAATAATGAAAGTTAGACCTGGTGCACTTCTGCAAGGGCTGGTGCAGCTTTGCACGTGTGGCAACATGTAATCTATTACAAAAAGCACAGACACAAACACATGAGAATAAACTGAAAGTAAAGCTCAATACCTGATCACCATTGCACCTGTTATCTGTGCACCTGTAGACATCCAGCATGGTTCTTCTGGTTCCTGTACCATCTATGGCCCACACAACAGCAGCTCTGTGGCCAGAGAGAAGCATACTCTCTGTAATACAGGAAGAACGTTCTGCTCTCAGACAGACATGGAGGATAGAAAACATCAGAGGACAACCTATCAGCTGGGGCCCATTTAGCTCCTACTCAGAACAAAATACGTATTTATGCTTGACTTAAGGGAAACGTCATCTGTGAAGATGCTCAATAGTGTGAACCGTTTGTCTAGTACATCTATAAGAAACACACACACTATTCTGATGATTTAGAAATGCATTTAATTTGAAATGAAAATTAAAATAATTGAAATTCTCACAACGCACGCTGAAATGTGATTATTAATCCCAATTAAATTCTTGGTTGCTTCTATTTGGATTTGTGCTTTTAAATAGAAGTTGATGTAAAATAATCTGAATTATTTAGTTTTAGAAGCAGCTTCAGTTGTGAAACTCTGAAAATCAAACTTTATTGTCTCCAGTCTAAAGATGAAGGAGGACCATCAGAGCCTCATGTCTGTAACCATGGTGATGGTCCACGTGTTACTGAGTGTCTTCTTCCTTCCAGGTGAGCTGTTTGTTATCTTTAGTTTTCAGAATCATTTCTAGTTTAAAGGCTCCACATGTAACAAGCTGCAGCTCAGCTGGACTTTAGTCAGGAACTTTCTCTTAAAGCTGATTTTTTTCCTCATCATGTCTCTGCTTTGACAGATGTTTGGGCTGCTGCTGATTATTGTGGTGGTCTTATACCAGCTGTCAACATCACTACACCAAATACGATGGAAGCTCTGAATGGATCATGCTTGCTAATCCCATGTAACTTTACAGCTGGTGATACATTTGACAGCATCAGACAAACTTCTGGATTTTGGATTAAAGGTGATAGTGATATTTACAGCAGCAGTAATTCAGTGAAATCATTTCCAGTAAATATTACTGGAAACCTGACTCAGAGAGACTGCACCACTGTGTTTTCTGACCTGAATATGAGTCACTCAGGTGCGTACTTCTTCAGAATCGAGAGCTCATCTAGCAAAGGCACAGCTTGTGCCGATCCTCAACAAATAACAGTTAAAGGTGAGTTTTTGCTTCATTTTAATCTACCTTTCTGTTTTCTGTCATTAAGAACAAACACTAAAATGTTATTTTGTGGTTTATGACACAAACATGGTAATAGCAGCTGAACTGCATGGTGGCGTCATTCATCCTTGTGTGTTTGAGTATTTCTTCCAGTCCAGCATTGTCTTAAATGTCTGCATTCTGACTTTAGTCGTCTTATTTTACTCTTTCAACATCAGTTGGAGCAAAAACAGATTCATCTGATGTGGGAGTGTCAACATTTAGCTTCAGGAGAAGATCTTTAAAAGTTCCCTTGTCTTCAGCATTTACAGCCATATTATCTTGCCCGAAGTCTGCTGAAGACAAAAATACTTGTTTTATTCTTTCACTGTACTGGAACGTCTCATATGATAAAGATAAAAGATATAACACAAATTCAAAATACAAAGAAGTTTTAAAGGAGCAGATTGTTCAGCTTTGGTGAATCAAACATGCATCATTTCTAGTACCTGGGAGGGTTTCGGGCAAAAAAAAAAAGCAGATGAATTTTAAAGGTTGTTTTTTTAGGAGGAAATGATAAAAGGGGGCATTTAAATACCACACATCAGTGGTCAGCTGTACAGAAATGTCATTGTGTCGGATCATAAGAGATACAGGATGTCTGCTTGGGAGAAGAAGCAGTTTTACGTCCTGTGTCTCTGCGTCAGCTAACAGCCCTACAACATCCAGGGTCTTAAGGAACTGCAAATCTCATCCACGCTCAGGGCCCTGCCACTCAGGTACTTAAAGCTTCTTGGTGATCTCAGCTCTGGAGATAGGAAAGCCATCCCATAATCCTTGGAATGCCCTTTCTCACTGGAAGATGTGCTGGTGAGAATCAGGTCTTTGAAGTGCTCTGCCCACCGACCCAAACCTCTCAAGTCTCCACTAGAAACGATGCTGGAAATGCATCACTTTCCCCTCTTGAGTCGTGTGATGATGGACTGTAGGGCTGCAACAACGACTCCATAAAATTGATAAAAATTGATGAAGAAATACATTGGCAAAGTATTTCGTCTTCGATTCTTTGTGTTGTGCAAGTTTTTTTCGTGTTGCGCAACCTTTATTTAACAGTCAATGCACGCAGCTCATGTGTCGGTGGCAACAGAGCAGACGGAGGCAGATCAGAACAAGAGAAAGCCGGTGTTTTGATGAGGAACGACCCTCTTAGAACAGTAAGATGCTTACTGACGCACAATGAGCTAATCTAGGTGCTGTAGAGGAAAACAGACACCAGCAAAAACACAAAGGCAGAAACTGTTTAGGATCAAAAGTGCAACTATGGGCAGATTAGCTACTTAGTTAAATAAAGTAAAGGAAGGAGAGAAAACATTTTTCAGTAGCAGTTTTTAAATGTTCCCTTTTAATCAGATTAATCAGTTAATCGAGTGGAGACCCCATCTGATTAATCGATGATCCAAATAATCGTTTGTTGCAGCCCTAGTGGACTGGAATCACTAGGGTGACATAAGCCTGACTATATCTAACTGAAACGTCTAAACCTTGCACACCAGGCCAGGCTTGTTCCCCACCAGGGGTTATTTCCTGAGAGTCAGCATTCTACAACCAAAGATCAGACCGCCAAGGTCTTGCCTAAGGTCACCACCCATGGAATAAATGAAAAGGAATGAAAGATGAGCCAGTTTGTTTTGATGAAGTCAGAAGTAAAATCCACACATTTCATCCTATTATCCTATCCATGACTTAAATCAGATAAATCCTTCATTGGTAGTTCAGGTCAACAGTTGTTTAGTTAAGGTCCAATTACTTACATTTATAAACAGCTGCTGCAACAGTGAGATCCTGGATGATCTTTATCTTTATCTTATCCTGGATGATCTTTATCTTTGATTACTTATTATTTTATGTGTTAAATGGTAAATCCCAGATTCAGCCTGGAGACCCAGGATTAACATCTCAGGAGGTTTGGAGGACCTGAAGGAGAAGGAGTCTGTCTCTATAACCTGCTCAGCTCCGACTCCCTGTCCACTCTCACCTCCTGAACTCACCTGGAATCTCCAACCAGACTCTGACAGACAAACACAGAAGAACCCAGATGGAACCTCTACAACTAAAATCCAGGAGAACATGACTCTGTCAGACACACATGATGGATGCAACATCACATGCTCTGTCTCATACCCTGTGGATGGAGGAAAATGTCTGAATACAACAGAGACAGTGACTCTTCTTGTTTCCTGTAAGTATGTCATGGTTCAGCTGCTTCTGATCAATAAAGTTCATGTGAGTCCCATTTTCCTCAGATGCTCCTAAAGACACCTCAGCATCCATCAGTCCATCAGGTTTGGTGTCAGCAGGTAGCTGGGTGAAGCTGAGCTGCTCCAGCAGAGCCAAGCCTCCCGTCAGCAGCTTCATCTGGTTCAGGATCAGCTCAGAGGGACCCGTTCAAGTATCTGAGGAGCAGCTTTACAGCTTCAACGTCTCTGAGGGAGGAGAGTTTTACTGTGTGGCTGCAAATAATCTGGGGAATCAGACATCATCAAGGATCAAACTAAGTGTGTGATACTTTAACCATCAACAAGTAGATTTCCCAGATGAAATATTTCTGTTTTTCCACTGATTTTCACATTTTCTTTCTCAAGGATTGACCAGTAACACCCAAACTGGTGACCTCAACAGATCCTGGGAGGGAATTCTAGGTGGAGTCCTCGGCACGCTGCTCATCTGTCTGATTGTTGCTGTTTGATGAGTCTCAGATATTAAACTGTATAAAATAATCTGGCAATTCACTGTTATGCTGTTTCACATTCAGAACCAGAGATTAAGGTGAGAACATGTTTAGCTTGTTTATTCTCCAAACATCTGGGTTCTAAAACATCAGTTATCATCTTGGTCATTTGTGAAACAAAGGCTGTTCAGGCTTCTTTAGTCATTTTTAGTTTTACCGGCAGAATCCAGAGAATAAGCAGATTTTATAGATGTCTTTCTTTGTGTTTCTACCTGAAACTCAGCAGATTTCCTCTGACAGCTCTCTCATGTCTTCCAGCTGCTTTAAGTTCAAACATCAAACTCAACGACAGACTCAGGTGTGTAACGGTTAAACTCATGTGCAGCACTGATTAAATCTGTAGATCTGAGACATTCATATGGATTAATGATGCATTCTATTATTTCCACAGAATCAGACAGATAAGGAGGTTTCTCCTCAGATACCAGCAAGAGACACAGATGTCCATTATGGAGACGTGACCTTCTTCAAGAGGACATCTGATGTCTCATCTGCCTCAGAGCAGCAAAGAGGACAGCAGGAGGAGATGGTGTACTCACAAGTTAAAGTGTCCAAACTACAAACCTAAAGGATCTCTGAACTGCAGAACATTGAGCTGTTTTTTAGAATTACATCATTTAAAAAATATGCTAATATTTTCTAACTTACGTGGACAAATCTGCATGTGAACATGAAAAATCAGTAGAGCGCAAAACAGTGATTTAACTTCTTTGGGACAAATGTCGCCCCCTTGGGACCACTTCATCATATTGCATCAAATTAAGAAAATGCTCCACTATTAAATAAGAAAATGTTAATTAAAGGTCGTTAATAAAATATTCAAACTAAAATGCATTGAAATATTAAATTTACTGAACAGTCTGCCAGAGTTTAAACCAGCAGCAACCCACTTACTTACTTGAAAACATTTTTAATCATCTTATTTCCTTTTGATGTTTGTCTTCTGCTCAAGTCATCATGGTCATTTGTTGTCATCTAGTGGTGATGTGTTGACATGACTACATGCTCATCGTCAGAAAAACAAATACTGATATTTGTACACCAGTTTCTGGTGAAAGATAAATTTAGAAAATGAAGAATTTAAGTTTTTATACCTTATTTTTTCTGTCAATAACTGGGTAACTCAATTTCCCCATCAAACCTGTGAATTCAAAACAGAATCTGAGTATTTATTTAAAATGATAGTAAAAATAGAAAACAACAAGCAGTTTTCTTTTATCGGGATGAAAACAGATTTTCACACATTTTAAGACTGCACCAAATGTCTTTTTCAAAACTGCGCCCATATGAAACCTTTTAAACTGAACTTTAGTCAAATTATTACTGTCAAATATCTCATTTAAAAGGCCTTCACTTAAATCCATCACAGACTTTTGTGTCTTGTATTAATCCATTAATGATCTGAAGACTTTTTACAGCAAACCTGATAATTTTTTGATGATGTGAATGCCAGCCATCAAGCTGGAAGCAGATGTTTGTGATCTGCGTCACAGTACTACATGGATCCTGCCAACGACGCCAAATGTGGCAAGATAGAGAAAAGAGGGCCCGGGCGGGATTCGATCCCCAGACTCCCGGGTGAGAGTCACGTGTATGGAGGTACATTTGGGGCAATAACATCTCCATACACACGCACTAATCAGTCAGCCAAAGTAGCCAGGGTGCATGACCAATCGGGATACATTGACAGGACGCTCACACTGTCACATCTTCCCCCCTCTTTCCACAAGCATGTCCTCGTGCTCCCACGCAGGGTGCTACAATTCCCTTCATGTATGAGGTCTCTTTGGGCTCCACTGCCTTTGGTGATGATCTGACCCTGACGACCTTCTCTGGTACCTGACTGACTATTACACAAACACATGCACACCCAGGCAGGTAGAACACCCTAGGGTTTGGGTTAGAACACCTAAGGGGCAGTATTTTACCCTCTCAGGCTCAAAATAAGTTTAGATAAAAAGACGAACAACTAAGTCCTTCTGAGTTAAAAAATGCTCATGAAATACATATGTGGAGTAACCAGGTAGGTAGGTTTTTAAGATGCAAATCTGCAACCACTGCCTCCAGAGGGTTAAAAAAATCTGGTGCTTCAGTGAAAAAATACAGGAGTCAATTCAAATCATCATTTTTTACACATGCTGAAAAACACCAGCATAGAAATCTAACTTCCTAGTGCCTGAAGCTGATTTATCAGCTCGTGTGAAAAAAAAAAAAAAAAAATCAGCTTTTTTGTTAGAAATGGGATACAGACAATTTCATCTTTAAGACCCCAAATCAAGATTTTTCTCATTCGTGGTAAAAATAAAAACTGTGGTGCTTTAAAGATAATTTTAAGACTTTTTAAGGTATTTTGACGACCAGTTCAGTGGCCTAGTGGTACGAGAGTCTGCCCTGTGATTTGGAGATTGTGGGTTCAAATCCACTGTCAGGTCATTTAAAAATGGGACCCAATGTCCCACCACTTGGCACTAAAAGTGTGCTGTGTCTGCAGCTCACTGCATCCCCAGGTGATGGGTCATATGTGGAGAACAAAAATCACACACCAGTGTGAGAACTAAAATGGTGAAAAATGACCTCCACTTTCAGTCAGATGACTCCAAAGTGCTTTACAAGCACAGAAAACCAGTGGAAGATTAATTTAAACAGTCCTTTTTAAGGATTGATCATCCATCTGATCCTGTACCATGAGTAGGTGACAATCCATCTAGTGATGAAGGAAAAGCCACATTTAAAGCTGTAATGGTGAATCTATAGAGCTAGGTTTTGAACACAAACACGATCACGAAGCACCCACCCCTCAACTTGGGTTAGTTTTCTGAGAAGCTTCTGCTGGAACCAGAATTCCGCTTCTGGTGGACAAAACACCGTTTTCTAGGTATGGATGGCTTTTGTTGTCTGTGACTTCAAATGGTGTTTTTCTTTAAGGGACTCTGGTAGTTTGTCCTAAAATTGAAGTGGTAGCAGCCGGCTGTTTCTCCTCTGATATTATTGAGCCGAGAACCTCTCACACCAATGGTGTTCTGTTGCTAAGCACGTGAGTGTGTGATGAATGGAGGGAAATGCGGTGAGACCGAAAATCGGATGGTCCAGTGGTTTCTTACGGTTGGCTGAGGTTTTTAAACAAATGCATTTGATTTCATTTTTTTAAGCACCACAATATATTTTTGTGTTAGAATGTTAGGAGGCATGAAAAATGTTTTAAGCTAATTTGTCTTCTAAAATTGCCACAGCAGCTTTAAGTCAGTTTTTCAACAACAGAGTCTCCTGAAAAAGGGAATAGAACTGGGCGTGAATGATAACACACCACAGTATCAGTACACAGACATGTGAATCCAAAGCACCTGTGTCTCTAAAACTGGTCTTTTTTTTCCCTGAACTTCCTCCACTGATACAAACACTTTTTAAACGTGTGTTCTATAATGTGGATCAATAATCTCAAACTCAGCTGGGCTTATCTCAGTACCTGCAGGAACAGAAGATGCTCTGCAGCTGTGGCCTCAGGCCTTCCAGCAGAGCTCAGATTGTAAAACAGGGCATTATTATTTCCAATCAGTTCTTCCTAAACATCAGTAAGATTGTTCTAATTAGCTTTTTTGTTTATTCTTTAAATCAGTTCCAGTTCCTCTCTGACTGCTACTTCTTGTAGCCGTCAGATCAAGCAGAAGCCAGAACTACTGCATGAAGGACCTCTTTTTAACCTTCTCTTTATTTAAATACTGTGCTCAGCATTAATGAGTACACCCCCTTTAAAAAGTACAAATTTAATCAGTAGCTCAATTAACAAAATAACAATTTCCAGAATTTTCACAAGGCTGGGTTAGATTGAACACTTGTTTAACTCCATAACATGTAATCAAGGTTAATAACACAACTTCAATAACAAACTCTTCAGTTTTACTAAAATTGTTTGAAGCAAAAATGACTCCACCCCACAACAAAAACTACTACTACATTTTGTATGCCCACCGTGATTTTCAAGGACAGCACCAAGCGTTCTCCTATGTCTATACCTATGGGAGCGGAGCCCCCGGCAACAAGTCAATGCCAATATGGAAAGGGCGGTGAGGTGGTAACGTGGCTGCTTGGTCTCTGCTGAACACCTGCTGTAAGTCGTGGTATTCACGGGGTATCTGGGTGAGGTCGGGCGGCTCCATTAGAGTCTTTACAGAGTCCTTAGGTCCAGACGAGGCAGAGGTTAGGCAGGTCAGGTGGCACTCCGGACTCCAGGTCTCGACACAGTTGGCTCTCCAGTCCAACTGTGGGTTGTGCACCCTAAGCCAAGAATGACCCAGCACTACTTGGTTCTGCGGGGAGGGAAACACAAATAGTGAGATCGTCTCCGTGTGATTACCTGAGACCTGGAGATTGAGTGGTTGGGTCCGGCGTGTGATAGTGGACAGAGACCTCCCACCCAGAGAGGAAACAGATAATGGCTCCGGAAGCTGTTCAGTGGTTAGTCCCCAATCACGCACTAGTTGAGGATCCACCAGCGACTGTTCACTGCCAGGGTCCACTAAAGCAGTCGTCTGGTGGTGACGGCTATTAAAAGTCACAACACAGTCAATGATAAAACGGGAGGTTTCGTTACCTGAATGGCTGCCCACCAGAACTCCCGGACCTACGGGTGGGCATGTCCTTTTAACGCCGCTGGGCAGGTCTGTACAATGTGTCCAGACTGACCACAGTATAAACACAGGCCCTTACTGTAGCGGTGCTTGCGTCAGGTGCCAGGTGAGCTCTTCCCACCTGCATAGGTTCCTCAGGTGAGTCCGGAGGAGGAGACCTATGGGATGAACGATGAACAGGCGGTGGTGATAGGTCCCTTGCTGATGACTGCTGTAACTCCCGATGTCTCTTGTCAATAGAAATGCACAAAGAAATTAATCCATCCAAGGTGGGTGGCTCGGAGCACAGAGCCAGCTGGTTCTTCACCCAGTCATTCAAAGCCTCAATGAAAGCCGCCTTAAGTGCATCATCCCCCCATGACGTCATCGCAGCCAGGGTCCTAAATTCCAGGGACATGTCTGCCACAGACCTACGTCCCTGCGAGAGGTGCAACAGTCTCTTTCTGATGTCAGTGGTGGTTTCAGAGCTACAAAAAGTCAATTTAAAATCCTCCAGGAAATCAGAGTACGAACCAGACAGGAAGCTAGGATTTCTGCTCTTGGCCTCCGCCCACCTAAGTGCCTTGCCTCTCAGTAGTCCCACAATAAAATAAATTTTCATAGAGTCAGTTGGAAAAGATCTTGGAGTCTTCAAACGGTAGGCGGCACTGAAGCAGAAACCCATAACAGTCCTCGAACTCACCAGAGAAGGTCGGACATTGCCGAGGTGGAGCCGAACGGAAGTGGGTGATTTTCGGATATCCAGGCACTTCTGGTCCGGGTGGAACATTCCTCATGAGGCGTGAGCAGGTGGTTCCGTTCCGGACGCTGGAGCGGCGGTTGCTGCTGGAGCAGTGGCTACAGTAGAGACAGGAACAGAGAGTCGCTCCTGAAACTGCTGGAGGGCAATCTCCAAACGTTGGGAACGCTGGTTGGCGATGTTTAGCTGCTCCGAAAGGACAGGAAGTGTCTGCTCCTGCTGATACACCCGGGTAGCCAGATCCGCGAGCGCAGATTCCGCTGGGTTAGATTGTTGGCCGGATGATTCTGTCATGACTCGAAGTAAGTGCCTAACCCAAGACATGCAGAATCATCACTCGTCGAGCAGAATAGGTAAAGTAAAGTCCTTTATTACACAAACGGGAACAGAAACAGCACAGGGAAGTCCTGTGAGAGTGAGCGGTGCAGCTCTTGTCCTTGTAGCGTTCAGGATGAACGAGAGAGGGGGGAAGCCAGGGTGAGCACTGGGCAGAGGGTGAGCGCTCCGGGAGGGGTGAGGGAATCCAAACAGGAACAACGGAGGAGGATGGGACGTGGTGTGTGAGATCCAGAGTACGTAGGCAGCAAGGTGGAGCAGGTGGTGAGAGAATCTTGAGGGGAAGGGAAACAAACACCAGACATCAGGGAAAATAAAAAAAAACGTAGTCCAACAACACGGTCCGAGGTCATAAATCCAATAGTCAGAGAGCGAGTCAAAAACACGAACGAACAGGAGCAAA